CAGGTACAAATTTAAAAAATTTAAAAGAATAATGAATACAGTTTTTGTAGGCTGATTTCCAAGATTCATGTTATTATTTTCCAATGCAAAAATTTGAAATTATAGGAAAATGAGCCTCTAGCCTTCCTCTTCACATGCAGAAAGTTCCAAATTTTTCCGTTCACTAGTTTTCCAGGAAAACTTTAAAATATGTGAGACTGTATTTTCAATTAATTCAGTTATTGTAGGTTGATTTCCAAGATTTCTCATGTTGTAATTTTTTACTGGAGAAATTTGATATTCTGGGAAAATGAGCTTCTAACCTTTCTCTTTACATGCAAAAAGTTTCAAATTTCTCCCTTCACTAGTTTTCCAGGAAAACTTTGAAATGTGTGAAACTGTATTTTCAACTAATTCAGTTTTTGTAAGTGGATTTCCAAGATTTTTCATGTTACTGTTTTTCATTGGAAAAATTTGAAATTTTGGGAAATTTATCTTCTCACCTTCCCTCTTTACATGCAAAAAGTTTCAAATTTCTCCCTTCACTAGTTTTCCAGGAAAACTTTAATATGTGTGAAACTGTATTTTTAACTATTTCAGATTTTGTAGATTGGGAAATTTTGGGAAAATGAGCTTCTTAGTTTCCTCTTTACATGCAAAAAGTTTCGAAATTTTCCCTTCACTAGTTTTTCAGAAATACTTTGAAATATGTGATACTGTATTTTCAATTAATTCAGTTATTGTAGGTTGATTTCCAAGATTCCTCATGTTGTAATTTTCTACTGGAAAATTTTGAAATTTTGGGAAAATGAGGTTCTCATCTTCCTCTTTACATGCGAAAAGTTTTAAAATTTTCCCTTCACTAATATTCCAGGAAAACTTTGAAATGTGTGAGACTGTATGTTCAATTAATTCAATTTTTGTAGGTTGATTTCCAAGATTTTTCATGTTGTTATTTTCCACTGAAAAAATTTGAAATTTTGGGAAAATGAGCTTCTCACCTTCCTCTTTACATACAAAGTGTTTCAAAATTTTCCCTTCACTAGGTTTCCAGAAAAACATTGAAATGTGTAAGACTGTATTTTCAATTAATTCAGTCATTGGAGGTTGATTTCCAAGATTCTTCGTGTTGTTATTTTCTACTGGAAAAATTTGAAATTTGGGGAAAATGAGCCTTTAACCTTTCTCTTCACATGCAAAAAGTGTCAAAATTTTCTCCACTAGTACTCCAGGAAAACTTTGAAATGTGCGAGACTGTATTTTCAATTAATTCAGTCATTTCCAAGATTCTTTATATTGTTATTTTCCACTGGAAAAAAATTGAAATTTTGAGAAAATGAATCTCTAACCTTCCTCTTTACATGCAAAAAGTTTCAAAATTTTCCCTGGATCAGTTTTCCAGAAAAACTATAAAATGTGCTGACTGTATTTTCCACTCGGGTGGTACCCATGGTGGTCTCGATGATGGTAGTATGGATACCAAATTTCGTTCTACCTTTGAGTAGCTTTCAAGTAGTTAGTTAGTTAGGACAGGAAAGTGAAACTCGTTTTCTTCTATTTTCAGTTGTTTTCTCTGTTCAAATTGCTAACAACACACAACTTTCCCAACTATTTTCTACCAATAAAATTTGCTCCAACTGGTTTGTGGTTTCTAAAAGAACAGACCTATAATATATAGGGTGTCCCATTTGAAACAAATACATATTTTACGCTAACTTTTTTTTTGCTCCACCCTGTATATGTGAAATTATTTTCATTTTATAGATACACAAACTTACCCAAAGATATTTTTAATATTGGGGTTAGTGTTGGTAATATGAATGTGAATATTTGGAAAAATCGAGGTTTGAAAATCAAGCGTAAATCCATTGAATGCAAGCGTAATTCCGCGATATTTGTAAGTAATGCCTGATAATGCCAGTATTATCCCTGGTAATCTGTGGTTATACCGATTAATGTCTCATGGTGCCAGATTAATGTCACTGTAATTAATGCCAGTAAGGCGCACAATAATGCTTTGTAATGCAATAAAATTTGTACATGTATTGCCACCAGTTGTTGGCCCCTCGCACGGAATCCTACTGGAATTCTACTGAAAATGGATGAAATTTTGGACCGAGTTTTAGACTGATGATTAGAAAGTACATTTCATGACTAAATTGAGTATTGTTCTACTCAACCTCTGCGGTACGATCAGAGCGAGTTCCGCAGCATTTAACTCATTAATGAATGAGTCATTCTGATATAAAAATAAGGAATTTTTGAATCAATAAGTTAAAATCTGCGAAAATAACTTGTGCAAAATACTTCCAATGATCACAATGACTTGAAATTTTCAGCAATAATGAATTGAAGTTTCCTCTTTGTGAAAAACTTAATTTGAAGCTTCAAACTAAATTTGGAAACTTTTTTTTACGTTAATGCATGTAAAACTTTAAAAGTGTGCAAAAGTCACTTGTGCAAAATATTTCTAACGATCACAGTGATTTGAAACTTTCAGGATTAATGAATCAAAGTCTTTTTCATATGAAAAAGTTAATTTTAAGCTCCAAATTAAAGTTGATACCGATATTTGAAAAGGAGGATAAAAATGACATGACTAACTACAGGCCTATATCTTTGGGGCCTGTATTCAACAACATTCCAGATAATGATGACGACGCAGATAATTCCAACATTCTAAACAGGGACTTCTATTATTGTTCTTGGGAATTTTCCTTAGAGCGGGTATTATATGAAAATATGAAGAATATACTTTTACACGTTTGCTAACACTACATTAGTCACTGCTTAGCTGTAGATGAAATCTGTTCAGTTCACCCAGACACAAAATGTTATATTATAGTAGACTTTAAGTTGCCGGGGGCACAATGGTTAAAATGCTGACAATAGAGTGGAAGTAATGTACCCTTCAAATTCGCCAGCTTTACATTTGCCTTTGGCACAAACTTATGGGTATTACAATGTACCAAAGACTTGACTTGTTATTTACAAATGACGGTTCAGTTAATTGGGCAAAGTCGGCTGATTCAATGTTTCGTGACTATCTATAATATATCATATTCATGTAGTTTTAATTTAAAGATTGTTAAATCTGATCTTCTTAAAGTTGAGAATTCTTATTTTGATTTCAAAAATGGTTATTGTCAGGGTTTGAATGATTAATTATGTTCAACGAATTGGGACTATAATATTGAGACTGTTTCAACAGAATTTTAAATTATGGATTTCAGTGTTTCGTACATAATAGTATTCCTAAAAGTATGGTTCTCAATACAAGTTGTGGCTACAAAAGGCCAGGAGATTGTGAACCCTTTTGCTAATAATTTTTCAACAGTTTATGTTACTAGATAAGTCTTATAGTCAACTATGATTGATTGTTTTATCTTAATTGTTTCTGAGGTGTTTGATAAATTAGAGTCTCTATCAAAGTTAGGGCTGATGGAATACCAAATGTGGTTTTGAAACAATGCAGGTACTATTTATATCACCCTTTATGTAAACTCCTCAGCCTGTCCTTAAACACATCACAAGGAAAGCTATATTTCAGCTATTTTTGAATCAGGTCAAAAGGACGATATCACAAATTACCAGGTTGTTTCTATAGAGTCTTCATCACAACGGTTTTTGGTAGCTTAATGCACTTGAAAGTGTAAAGAAATTCTTATTGATGAGCAACATGCATTTAGGCAAGGTCAGTCCACACCTTGATCAAATTGCTCATCTACCACAGTAAACTGATAGATGCCTTGAAGAGAATATCACGTGTATTGTGTATGCTGTGTATACTGACTTCTCCAAAACCTTTGACAGAGTCAATCATTATTTGCTTATTAAGAAGTTGATAAATTTGGGTTTTTCTGAGAGATTGGCAAACTGGTTTCTTTGTTTTTTTTTTAGGGATAAGGAGCTCATTGGTAAAATTGGTAATTGGTTTATCAAAGGTTCTTAGAGTCAGTTCTAGTGTGCCCTAGGGAGGCACTGCTCTCCCTTATTGTTCAGCCTGTAAAAGATCAACTAAATAACTGTGAATTCTTTATGTTTGCAGATGACCTCAAGCTGTTTTCAAATAATTCCCAATTTGCCTTACTCCAAAGTCATATTGATAGTCTTTTTGATTGGTGTAAGAAAAACTTTATGAATCTGAATATTGACAAATGTTTCTAGTGAAATTATATTTAAACATTCTCAAATACAGGAAACATAATTTCTGAATATTTGAAGCGATTTTGTTACAGCGCACCTCCTTAACAATAACAAATAATATTTTTCTAATTAAATTAGAAACTTCAAACATTATCTTTATCATTATTATTTTTGTATTTGTTGAGGTTTTGTTTCACCGAAACACGTCACGATCAAATCAGCAAGAGAACTAGTGCTGACACAATAATAAGTTTTGCGATCTAATCAAATGTTGTCCAAAAGAAAAAGTTTTCAAAATTAATTAATATCCTTATTAAAACCAAAAATAAATAAAAGGCACTCTCGTAAATATTTACATTATTCGGTTCAGTCAGGTGAGTTCTATATTTAAAAGCCAACAGTAATAATAATTATTATTAATCTTATAAAATTGCATTACGTTCTTATTTTACAATGCTTTTCCGCAATAATATCTGTATTAATAATAATATGTAATAGATTTCTTTGATCATGTAACTGTGGTTATTTCAAAATAATAATTGCACACAATTTGTGTCAAAATAAAAGGAGAGTAGATACTTTTTGATTGAATATTACTGAATTGAAGCCACTAATGACAATGGTGCCTATAATTTCTAAAATCTGGATTGTCGATTGATTGCACAACTGACTTAAGACCAAAATAATACAGGATTTCTTGAACTGGCCTTCTTTTTTCAATTTCCTGATAAATAAAACACTCCATAAAATCAATATTTGTTTCATTGATTATTTTTAGTAGTTAAGTACACAAAATACTGGCAACATAAAGGCCCCTTCACCATACTTTTCCATTTTTGTATTAAACACATAACCCTCTACAAATAGGTACTTACCTTATTGGTGGAACTAGCATAGTTGTAGGACCTGGAAGTCTTGGTGACTACAGCGTCGCCAGAAGCTTTGGCTGTCGTTTTAGTGGACACTGGCGTTGGGGCGTCTTGACTGGCGGCGTTCGGTTTAGTGACCTGAAAAACATACAAATTAATCCAAGTCTCTTGATTTTCTAAACTCAAATTCTCACCTCCAAACTTTCAGGAACGGTCTGAAGGGTTGATCTCATGGCTGTCGACATGACGAGTCGACCGTTCGGGTTGGTTGTTAAAGGAACGGCCTCGCCCAGGACTTTACATTACCTGAAAAAAAAAAACAATAATTTTACATTATTATTATACAGTTCCTGAGTTTATGTTAACATGAGAAGATTTAGGGAAAAACTTTTCTATTTTCTAGTTGATGAAATCGAAGATTGATTCATTCATTGAAATTTCTACATCTTGTACATTTCTTGAATCAAAATTCTATCCCAAAACTACCTCTGAATTGGATGCAAACTTTTATCAGGAAATTGTTGATTACCATAGAAATTTCTATAATTTGCAGTATACAAAATATGGTAAATTTTCTACATTGATTCTTTTTTACCCATCAAGATATTAATCTTGACTCTCAAGCCAAGCAAAAATGTATCTTTCCCTATTGTCATTTTTCCTGTTTGGAAACTCGATTTGAATAATTCACCAGTCCAGTGGAGCCTGAAATTGAGTCTTTATGGGCCTAATTCATAAAATAATAAGGTTTACTTGGTTTTGAAGTCTCAATTTAGACATTTAAGTAGTCTGAGAAAAATTGATTTGAGGTTTTAAGTACCCAACCCTGCGATTAGTTAGCACTACGTAAGTATATTTAAGGCGCACCCTATGAAGGCAGCGCAATAATTATATTAATCTTCATTGAGTAAATAAGCAATTATTGCTCGGTTTTTCCACATAATTTTGTATTTATTCCAGGCGCTTGAATTTTATTTATGTTTTCTAAATTTCAATCTTTTTTCTATCCATCTAGGCGTAGGTAACCACTCTCCGCAATCTTGTCACAAAATCGACTGTAATCCCGGAAATCCTGTTGCAATCGCACCGCAATCCATAATTCTTTGGCTGCAATCTTGCTGCAATCCTATAGCAATCCATGGAATCCCTCTAAAATTTATAAGATTCTGGGCTATGGCTGGCACAAAATACACAATTGAATGTTTTAGATAACACTGATGATTGTTTTTGTGGATTCATTGTCTTGTTGCAAGCATTTAAACTCGCTTGCACTCTCTCTTACACCTAGAAAGTATCCTCCTATAATAGATTTGATCTTGTTCAATCAACCTTTATTCTTTATTTTAGGTTATCAGATTTTTTTCTGCTTATGTACATTTTGTAAGCATAGTGGTTGACCCCTCAGGTCATTCTGCAGCATTTTTGGGGTTTCTGAAAAGTTCTTAGAGATTTTAGAGAGATGTTAACACAAATTTTTTAGGAATGTTAATGATTTTATTTCAATAAAATTTTGTGGGATTTTGTTAAATTTTCAAGGATTTTAAAGATTTTTAGGGATTTGAAGTAAATCTTATGAGATTTTCTGAGATCTTGACGAACTTGTACATGGATTTTGACCAGTTGAAAATATACCTGCAATCCCTGAATTCTGCAATCTTTTGAGATTTTTCTGCTATAGTGGTTACCTCCTAGCGAAAAACTAAAGAGTGTCTCGAGCAAAAATATTGGAAGTTATTCTTGATCCTGCTTTGTCTTTATCAGGGCATATTTTGTCAAAAATGTCTGGTAGATATCAGGAAAATATCAGATTCATTACAAGAAACACAAAATGTTTTAGTATTGACATTCATTTATCCTTCTTTGACAGTCTCCTTTCACCAATCTTAGATTTTGGCAGCGTAATATGGTCACCTCTATACCATAATTCAAGTGAAATTATAGAAAGTGTGCAGCAAAATGTCTCAAAATATAATTATGTAACGTCTATATTTTGCATCCACACTTATCTCACCTGTTTGAAGAGATACCCAGAAATGTCAAGGTCAAGTGTGAAAGTTGTAGGTAATATCAGAAACTTTGCAATGAAGTTTGTTACAAGTTATACAGAATGTGTCACAGCCTTTCAAACCTGATACCAAATATAATGGGTTTTTTAGGTTTATTCCTCATAGTCCAGGTTCTGAACATCCCATTTTGAAGAAATAATATGAATTTTTTACTTGAATGATTACCTTTATATTTTGCTGGTGGTCTTCATACATATTTCACCTTTTTCAATAAAAATGCAATTATTCCACCTTTTTTTTTTCTTATTTTCTCCCAGACTTTTAGAAATAAGTGTATAAATAACAACCTTTTCACAGGGGCTAAGCATGGTTCCAGGAGGGGCCACAGCACAATCGCAGGTTTGTTGAGTTTCACTACACATCTGCTGAAAATATGGAATACACCAGTATACCGTGTTCTGCGACTTGAGCAAAGCGTTTGACTGTATCTCGCATGTTCTCCTAGCAAAAAAACTTGAATCTTACAAGTTTGACCCTGATAGTTTCCAACTGATGAAATCATATCTTGATAATAGATCTCAAAAGTACAAGTTAATGGTGTGTTGTCGGAAAGTATGAGGTTACCCACAAGGCTTTGTTTTGGGTCCACTGTTATTTTTGGTATACGTCAACAACTTACCTGAATGCTTTAACACTATTGACTTCTGCCTCTTTGCTGATGATACCACTATTAGTATGAGATTCAAAAATTGTGAGGAGATCTCTGGGAGAACACAGGAGACACAGTTTGAGAAAAATAGCTTAATTTTGAATGAAGAAAAAACCAGCAGAATGATATTTTCCTTGAGAGACTGTGAGACAGACCTAGAGATGGTGAATAGAGTAAGGTTTCTGGGAATCCCATCTTGAAATGGGACCTCCATAATGGGAAACTGGCAACTACAATCAGCAGAAACATATTTGTGCTGAGGGGTCTGGCAGGCGGTGTTTCTCAGGCCGAAATACTTTGCTCTCTGCCATTCATTGTTGTTTTATGGCATAATAGTTTGGGGAGGAGCTGCAGACGCGGGTAGGATTTTTGCTTTACAAAAGAGAGCTGTAAGAATCATTGCTAGGTTGTCATACAGGGCACATTATCGACATGCCTTTGTAAACCTGAGTATTATGACATTTCCATCGATTTTCATTTATGAAAATGTTCTTTTTGCCAAAGTGAACTTGCATAATTATGATACAAACAGGGACCTCCATACCTATACCTAACACACGAAACAGAGTGTCAAAATTGTTTTAACAATATTAGCATCAATTAAGAATCTGAATCTGAATCATAACCCTGGTGGTTTAAAACTTGCACACTATTGGTCTGATGTAGCCTCGCCCCTTAACCTATGTAATAATGCCTAACAATTTTCGCAATTCCTAAAAAAATCCTCAATAATTCCCAGAATTCCTTAGTACTTTCAACAATTCCTTGGCAATTACCATTCCCACAATTCCCTAATAATTCAAACAATAGGGTACTTGCATGGAAAATTAAATTGATTATTGTTTATTGCAAACTGTAGGAAATGGAAAAAAAAATCGTTACTTTTTTTTTTATTTCGCCCAAATATGATTATTCCGGAAGTTATTGAAATATTAAGTTTTGTATATATAGATATACTGAGCATGTGCAACGTCACTAATTTATTAGATAAGTGACGTCATAGAGAGATTTCATAGTGTTGTATCTCCGTCAATTTTAGACTAAGAAGAAAAAGAAAAAACACGTGTTAACTTATTTTTCATGGACTATCGAAATCAGCAATAAAAAAATTTGATGCAAGGAGCCTATTCCTACATATTTCCCAATAATTCCTAGTAATTCCCTGATTTTGTATGGTTTCAATGAAAATTAGCCTAAATTGGATGAGTTTGAAATTAAATTTCGATGAAAATTGGCTTAGTGAGATAGGTGTGGTTGCAAAATATAGACCACCACTCAGTACTTCAAAAAGTTTTGAGAGTATCCCCAGCATGACTGTAGCAATGACTATTTGTTGGATGTTTTTAATAGGCTCTCACTTAAGAAAAGGCGGATAAAAATATTCCTATGTACTATGTATGGGGTTTTCTCTTGACAGCTCACTACCCTTATAATAGTTATTTATGATATAAGTGTTAAAAGTACATTTTTAAGGCACGCATGTGAAAGTTTGCAGAATGAGCGAAGCGAATTCTGCAATTCACATAAGTGCCTTAAAAATACTTTTAACACAAATATCATACAATATTTTTTCTACAAACGGCAATAAAAAACAATGCCCAGTAACAAATTAGATTTTTAAATGAATAATAAATTGGAAGCATCTTTCCTACATAACATTATTGAATTTGACATTTGTCAAAAAATCCAAACAACCAGCACCTTGTTTTACAGGTAATGAAATGTCTTGTCAGTTCCTGTCGTGGTCAGTAATGCTTTTTGCTAAAAATACAACAAAATACAGAAGAAAAAGAGAGTTGCAACGATTCCTTGAAAAATATATATGAGGCGGCCAATCGGGCTACCTCAGTTGTTCAAATTTCACCATTAATATCAATGTATATAACTAAAAATACAAACTTTTTTTGACGTTCGCTCTCAAAATTTGATGTTTCATTTTTAACACTAGTGCTATAAAGACTTTATGGCACTAGTGCGATAAAGTAACATTTTTAATGCTACGGGGGGGTGTTAAAAATGGCATTTTTAACACGTTTGTAGAAAAAATAATGTAGAACATTTTTTGGTTGTTTGTCTATTGGATCCTATAAAATTATGGATGGGAATGCATATATTCCTGGATCTTCATCCGTTGAGGTGTATGAAAGTTTCTGCCTTTCAATTGTTCAATTAATGGACCAGCATGACTTTACAGATGTTTTGCTCTGAGGGGATTTTAACCTGGGTAAACAGTGAAAATGGAATCAGTCCAATCGGCTCCTTGTCAAATGAAGTTACAGTAATTGCAGATTGGATGGCTTATCTTGGTCTGTATCAAAATATACAAATTCCCAACAGGTATGGAAATTATTTGGATATATGATGAGTTTTGAGTTAGCAGGGTTTTTGTCAAAATAAGTGATGCAAGTGCAAATATCATCTGCATATAAATTGAGAGAGCCCTGAAGAGGTTTGTATGACAGTGAGCTCATGTAGACTAGGAAGAGCGTCGGTCCCAGAATTGAGCCTTGGGACACTCTGTGTACAATGTTTTCCATTTTACTTCTGTTACCTTCACATTCAACATACTGTAGACTGCCCGACAGATAGTC